GTGCCATTTGCGACGCCATGCTGCAGGTGTGCTACGCCATGGAGTGTGGAGCATTCCCCAGAGCGACGCCCAGGTGGTGGATGAAGCGACGGACAGGTGGGACGTGGGAGGATCCTCGGCAATGCGACGACGCGACGACAGACTACTTCAAGGACAAGCTGCACATGTCGCCACATGTGTTCCGAGAGATCACGGAAGCTTTGTCTCCCTTCCTTGAACGGCGTGTCAGTTTCTATAGGGAGCCCCTCCGGCCTGACCACATTGTCGCGTACGCTTTGTATAGGTGGGCGTCGGGGGAGACGTACGAGAGCGGGACATGCAACTTCGGCATTGGCAGATCTTTCGGGTTGGTGGTTGTGCGGGATGTAACTACGGCGTTGCTGAGTGCGTACCCCGGCAGGATATCCTGGCCGACGGGTCTACAGAAGGCGGTCGTCTTGCACGCTTTCCTTGACAAGGGTTTCCCTAACTGCCATGGGTGCATCAACTGCACCACATCTTCATCGACAAGCCAACGAATTGCCGCGGGGAGGACTACTACGATAGAAAACACCGTTTCAGAATCTCCGTCCAGGCGTAGGTCATCGTCGATTTGAACTTGTGAGTGCTGGATGTGTTCGCCGGTTATCCGGGAAGTTGCCATGACGTGAGGATCGTCCACCTGTCCAGTTTATGAGCGCGCGAGGAGGCAGGGGAGCTTTTCACTGGGCCACCTGTCATGCTGCCTTTCGGTGTGCGGACGAACGGCTATCTGCTGGGGGACAACGGTTATCCGCCCTCCGAATGGGTAGTCGTCCCCTACGGCGGTCTCTCACGAACCCCGTCAGAGTTGCGCTTCGACAACAAGCAGAAGACGGCGAGGGGAGCAGTTGAGAGGGCTTTTCGGCAGACGGAAGGGGATGTGGAGGTTGTTTCTTCACGCCCACAAGACAAACATGGAGATGTTGTCGTAGCAGTTCGTCGCCGTCTCCATTCTGCACAACATACTCATCGACGCGGGCATCCCCTTCGACGACAATCTACTGTGGGAGGTCGGCCCGAACGGTGTGTGGCGCAGGGTGGATCTTGGGATGGCGCGTCCCTTGAGGCCGATGTGTATGGAGTCACCAACAGGGGATGCGGTCATTCTACGAGACGCACTAGCGGAGCGAACACGGCCAGGCGTTTGGAGCGGTCAGCTGCGATGACGTGGCTGTGGCGATATATCGTAGCGGGCGACGCAGGGAGCAGGCAAGAAATCGAAGCAGACGACGCGGGATACGTCTTGTCCTAGAAGGGGTGGTCGTCTGAGTTGGGGTCATCGTATGTGTGGGGCCGTTTGATGGAATTAGCGAGTTGAAGCGGCAGTGCCTGTGGGTTGCCGTACACGGGGCGGCGTGTGTCGGCAGTTTCTTACCGTTTTGTTTCGCATTGTGCGTGCTTGAGGAGGGTGTCCGCGCTTAGGGTTGATGGCGATGGCGCAGTCCAACACGTAGTGGGCGGGGGCGACGTGGCGCACGTGCATGTGTCGATCGTAGTTGTCGTGTGGTGTGGTGTCACTGCGGGTGACGTGTTTGGGTGACGTAGTCGAGTCTTCATCGTGTGTTCTGTTTTTCGGAACTATGGATTGAAGTTGCCTTCAAGGCCTTAATTTTTTGCAAAGCGTGTCTTCATCGACTATTTTCTCTGTACGAGACACAACAATCTAGTTTCTTACTTATCATGTAATTATTAATGTTGCATGACTTGTCTTCTTCTTTGTGGACGAATAAAAAGTACACAATTGCACGAGGCTGTTGTGTGTTATTTCTGATGCCCTCTCTGCTTCCAACATGTGTAATGTCGTGTGTGAACATCCCTCACTTTGTCATCAACCATCGGTTCAAGCAAGCATCCCCGACCCCGTTACGTCCCCCTAACCATAACTGTTATGAATGCAAATGAAAGCGGAACAAAACAGGAAGTGACAACACGATGTTGACGTCAATAATATAAATCAACACAATTACATGTTCGCTTTCACAGATGCGAACATCGATTTGGCATGTTTGAAAAAAAAAAAGAACATTTAAGGAAAACGAAAGGTTCATGCAAAACCCCTTCGACAACCGATCCGGGACGGTGATGATCATCGTCACGGAAACGTCCACCACCATGACCACCGGCATCGTCCCCACCCCCAGCCCCGTCTCCAACGCATACAGTTAACATGTCTGAGGCGAAACCGAACCAAGCACGCCCCCCCCCGGGCTGCACTCCTCTCCCAATAGGCTCTATGCACTCCGGCACGACGACTTGTGAGTCGTCTTCAACCAAGTGAAGGCAGAGCAGCACCACGCGAGAGAAAACAACAAGCGCGATGAACGTGCACATGCAGGACGCCCCCAAAACCAGTCCCCCCCCCCGTGTCGCCCATCCCACGTCACCGTCTCAAGGGGAAATGCGACAACCACCCTATCCCACCCGATTCTTTCGGATGAATCGGGGCGTCGACAGCAACTCTCTCGACGACAATTTTCGACGCGGCTGGTCCATTGCTGTTCCTGGCGGCCCGTGGACGGACATCTCTGGTTGGCAATGGTCGGCATCATGGAATACTCCGCCAACGGTCCCCTTTGGCGGCCAGCCGTCCTCCGCGACGTTGAAAAGGGGCTGCCTTGCGTTGCTGCCCTTCGGCAGGAGTGGGAAAGCGCCCAATGGTCGACAGATTCACATACTTCAGCCCGCCCCCACTCCCCCGATTGCGGACTGTCTTCCGCGACGGGATACATTACCCTGCTTTTGTCGGTAGCTGCAATGGCATTGTGTCTTCGTCAACGTTGTCATCGCAGGGTGGGATAGGGTGGTTGTCGCATTTCCCATTGAGACGGTGACGTGGCATGGGCGACGCGAGGGGGGGCTGGTTTTGGGGGCGTCCTGCATGTGCGCGTTTGTCGCGCTTGTTGTTTCCTCTCCCGCGGTGCTGCTCTGCCTTCACTTCGTCGAAGACGGCTCACCAGTCGTCGTGCCGGAGTGCACATAAGTCATGGAGCTTACTGAGAGATGAGCGCGGCCCCCGGGGGGGGGGAGGCGTGCTTGGTTTGGTTTCGTCTCAGACATGTTAAGGGTATACGTTGGAGACAGGGCTGGGGGTGGGGACGATGTCGGTGGTCATGGTGGTGGTTCATTCTTTTTTTCAAACATGCCAAATCGATGTTCGCATCTGTGAAAGCGAACATGTAATCTGTGTAACACTCCGTACGACATACGGGGGGTTTATCGTACGGTCGTACATACGGCCGTATGAACGGCAGTACGGCCGTATGTACAGCTCCGTACGAAAAAAAAAAAAAA